AATTCGGCTAAAAAAGCCGATTTCTGCAGTTTTATTATTCGTTTTTTTATGTCTTTAGGTATCTAACTACGAGCTTTAAGAGTCTGTCACACCGATACCAAAAGGGTAGAGAGCCGTTTGAAGACCGCTGCGAAGGGCATAACTTTCAGATACCGGAGGGACTGGTCGAGTGTTAACCAGGTAAGAAAGTGGTCGTCTGATACAGCTGATATTCCATCGAAAGCGATAATGGGAGAAAATGTCGGTCAACCTTTCGACTGGTCGCAAAAATGGGAGATTTTGGACCCCAATAGTGAAAGCAAGGCGCCTGGGATAAGAGTTATGGAGGACATCAAATTTGATAAATATCCTGCTGAACAATACACCTTGAGCAGGGGTGAGTTGATATTATCTGGATCCGAGCGCTTTGGAATAAGTATGAATTAGTTCAGAGACGCAGATAAACCTAGATCTACTAGATTCTCATCACCAATGAAATAAAAGTGAAATACAAAATCAAACTCACTCCACACAACTTGTGTAAGTTCGAATAAATATTTTGGTATATGCAACAGAAGATCATATAGTTTTCTTAACAAGCCCTGCCCTTAAATAGTCCTTAAAGGCATTGAGGAAAACAAATGGAATTTCCACTGCAGGCTACTGCAAGAAATTCTACCACTGACCAATCAAGGAGTTAGTACAAACGTCTTCGAAAACGTCGAAGGAAGCACTGAATCTTTAAGATTTGGACTAAGTGTTGCTTGGAATCAAGTTCATCTCGAGCCACAAATGACGGGATAAATATTTGTTTCTTTACGGCCTTTTTTTATCGGAAACAGGCACAAAACAACACGCGCAAAAAACAGCACTCAGACCACATGCCGTCAAAGAGCTTAAGTTTTCACCTCTCTACAAACTGCGGCCAAATGTCTCAGACCAAATTCTTGCAAAGGCGAGGCAGAAGCAAAAGTGTTTCACTCTTCAAGGAAAGATGGGAAAATGCAGTTGTCATGTACGCCTGTCACAGTCAGGTGTTTTTGTCA